AGAACACACCTTGACTTTAGTATCAGCTTCCTGCATGACGTCCTCCTTCTCTTTGTTAACCTTTATCATTTCTTGTTTGACGCGCTTTAAGTTCTTTTTGGTCTCGTCCACTGATTCTTTTAATGCTTGAACTTCCGCCTGAAACAATAAGCAGTAAGCAATAATACACAAGATGAACAAAGTTTATTCTCTACAAACTCTCATGAAAAGGCTCTAAGATAAAGAAGATAAAGATAAAGATAAAGAAGAATCGCATACCGAGTGTTTGGAGCGTTGTTCTTCCATGCACCGTTTTAAGCTTGCAACATCACCTTGCAACCGGCTGCAGATGTTGGAGGAGGTTGTCAGTTGTTCTTCTTTTTCTTGAAGTTGATTCGTCAGGTTCAGTTTGGCCTCGGCGGACTGGCACTTGAGCTCCTCGAATTCCTTGCCCCTCACGTCGACTGTGCCTCGCAGGACATTCATTTCACTGCGAGCTGCATCGAGAGCTTCCTGCAAGTCAACCGCCTCCTGCTGCGTCTCCTGCAGGTTCGTTTCGTGTGTGCGAGCCAAGTCCTGAAGTCCACTGACCTCGTTGATTTTATTTTGGAGATCCTCCTCCAACGCCTTCTGCTTCTCCTCGTGCAGCTTCTGCGTTTCTTCCTGGCAGCGCAGAAACTCTTGAAGATCCGACTTTAGTTTCTCTCGCTCGGTCTCGCTGCTTTGAAGCTTCTTCTCTAGGGCTGTAATCGATGCTTCCGTCTTCTCCTTTTTCTTGATTTCTTGATTTAAGGCTTTGGTTTTAGACTTCAACTGGAAATATATATACAGGTTTGTTAAAGTGATTTTCTGGGTCTTATAATACACAACTAAGATTTTGCTCTTTTATCACACTCTTTAGCTTTCACCTTTGTAAAAAAAACAAGTTCTTAGGACTATGTAGGCACGAATAGTGTTACAGATGATTATACCAATAAAACAAGGTATGTCAACAGTTTAGTGGTAGATATCACCTCTTTTTCTTGTTCTTTGAGTTGGAGTTTCTGAGATTTTACGAGTGCTTGTTGCTCCCCCCAATCCTTATCTAAAGTGTCTTTTTCGTTCCTGAAATAGATGATAGCACCTTGATTAAGAATGAGTGGTTAACGGTTAACGCCATACAACAACAAAATTGATGAACTTGACCACTGAGGTAATATTAATGAAATTTCCCTCTCTACACATTAATGTGTATACTGTATACACCAAACAATAAAACACATGCATACTGCACGCACGCACGCACGCACGCACGCACACACACCCTATACTTGTAACTAGCTATCCGTTACTTTTTCTGTTTATTCAGTGGCCACAAGTCTTCAACTGTAGTATGAATTAATATGTCCTGCCAAGCAAAACGTAAAAAAATCAACGTAACTCAGATAAGACTAAACTAGAACATTAAAACCTTTACACCATGAATAAATTGGAAAAAAAATACTGCACGACAAACACTTTTTTCAAGAATTCATATGTCTTACGTGGTTTTCTTGAACTGGTCCTCAATGTCTGTAATTTGTTGCTTCAACTCCGCTTCCGTTTCAGCTGCACTATTTGTAATGTCCTGGATCTTCTGTTCGTAGTTTTCACGATCTGCTGCCCACTCGTTTCTGGCAATAATAACCCAACATGAGTTTATAGACCACAAACACTGCATATATTTGCGTATATGTTACCACGTTTTACAACTACAAGTACACATACATATATCCAATGTATAATAAATCTGCAGTTGATAATAAGATCATTGCTTACCGAACATTAGTCAACTGTTCATTAAGGAATTCTACTTCTTTTCCTAACGACCTAATATTTTTATCAGCTTCCAACGCTATGTCTTCTTGGAGTTTGGCTGCTGCCTCTGTATTTTCCTGTAACAATTTGAATTTACAGACACAGACAATTTGAAATTTTCTGAAAATTATAGTGGGGCATTCAATACTTGGCTGTAAATAGTAAATACTCCGACATACCTGGATCCTTTTGTTCAAGTATTCAATAGTGTTACTCATTTCCTCATTCCGATCTTTATAACATGATATTTCTGTTTTCAACTCTTCTTCCACCTTTTTCTGAACCTGCAGATTTTGAGTTAATTCGGAAATCTGAAAATCAAACTTGATTATAATAATGAAAGAATGAAATCAATTTATATGTCGCCTTCCAATCCGCTATCATGTTGTGTCCAATTTATCTTCAAACTTACTCGTGATAAACACACACATATATTTATATGTAAATAAACATATATATATATATATATATATATATATATATATATATATATATATATATATATATATATATATATATATATATATATATATATATATATATATATATAATAATTTCTTAATAAGGTATATCAAGAAAGGCTCAAACACATACCTGTTGTGTGAGACACGTAACATGTTGATTTTTCTCTTGTAAGATTTTCTCTGAGTCATCTAGTTGTGCCATCAAAGACTGTCTGTCTTTCTGTTAAATGAACACAATGTCGTACGTCATATAATATTGATTAATAACAGACTTATCCAAGTTTTCTAAAGTTTTCTTTTATGACTCCTTTTTATCATCGGTATTATATGTACCTCTTACAAAACATCATAAGATTGGTATTCTCCCACAAATAATTTTGCAAAGAAAAATCAGGGAAAAGTTTTCGGCTTCTGTTTGAGGAAATAAACTGAGCAGTGTCAAACCTGTATATCTTGGAAATCTGAATTCAAATCTTCGAAGTTGGTGCGCATATACTTCAGGTTCAGGGACATAAGGTGTACTTCTTGCTCCAGCTCTGTGTGTTCTCCCTGCAGCTCCGTTATCCTATTATTGCTACGGTCGAGTTCCTGTATAAAAAAACAAAAAACAAAAAACAATGGAATGTTGATTAAAGGTGTGTGTAGAAACTTAGACTGAGAAGTTACAATCCCTAGTCATACGTGCACTGGTGAACTTTAGATTAATCTTGGATAAGCTATGGATGGCATACCTCTTCCAACTCTTGCTTTCGAGTTGTCACAGCCTCAAGTTTATCCAGAAGCTCGCTCTTGCTGCCTTCCAATGTGTCGTTCGCTTTCTTCAGGTACTGTATCTTCTCTACCGCTTCCTCAAACTCCTTTTGGCTTTCGATGCGGCTAGAAGGGAATAGTTCGTATATGTGGAGTTTGTTCTATAGCTTTATTAAGGATTGTTCTAGATTTTAAATTTTTCTCTGTTATATAAGATGAGCAACTGTTCCTTAAATTTCCTAAGATATATGAGCCAATACTTATTTGATGTTAAAACGAATGGAAAGACAACCAATATTTTGTTGCGTACACATTTTGCCAAAAGCTTACGACTAACAAAAATGTACTTGCTGAAAAGGAGTCGAATGCTAAGCCTAGATATAAATACACAGGTCAGTTATGTCTAGTCTGACTTTGAACAGGAACTTGCAGATAGCATCTGTTTATTTTGTATTTTGTTTTCTTATTGTATCCAATTCAGAGTTCCTTGTGACAAATGTAGAAAAATTATACGTGAGAAGGAATATCTTCACAACGCAAGATAAGTAACGGAATAACATATATATTGAATTCACGTAAATCTGACAGACTTTATCGATACGCGCCAATTACATATTCTGCATTGTGAAATTATTAATTCTCATTTAGAGCCTTTCTCTACTAACCGTATTCGTAAACATTAGTTTCATGATACATCTAATCTCGATATATCCGTGCTGAATATATACGCTCAGAGTGAATTGCATCCTATGACCTAATTTTATAAATGAAGCAAAAGAGAAAAAAAAGAAGAAGAAAAAAAACTTACCGACATTGTTCTTGTTTTAGCTCTTCTTGGAGATTGTTTACCTGGGCATTCGAGGCCTGAGTTTGCTCCTCCATCTCATTCTGAACTCTTTCTAGTGAGCTTTTAACCTAAAACAAAATAACGAAATTGAAATATGAATATGCAATATGGGCTAAAATAAAATAATTAATATGACAATACTGATCAGCAACTGCATGCTTGTCCCTGACCTCGACTATTTCCGATTCAAGAGCCGTGTTCTTGTCTTGGGCACACATCAGGCTCTGAGCTGTGGTCTTCAGGAGCTCTGTCAGTTCTGTGACATTTTCTTCGTATTCGGAATTATTGTGGATGAGCCTCGACATCGACTCGTTCAAGTCCTTCAGTTCTTGCTCTTTTGACGCGATCTTCTCCTGCAGCTGACTCACTTTAGATGCAGCTGTTGAAAATGGATATTATTCACTTTTCAAATAAATAAAAATCTAATTATTCTTATGACTAGCTTCTCTTTACACTGAGTTATGGTTTGCCCTTACTTTGACCACGGGATAGGGCGACTGGGAACCTGATTTACCTTGAGCAGTAAGACTATCCACTTGCTGCCTGTGTTGAACGGAAAGGTCATGGAAGCTTTCTGTTATCTCGCTTATCTTCTGGACTGCCTCGCGGTGGGCGGTACTTAGCAAGTCTTTATCCTGCTGGAAAAGCGTTATTGTAACCACAAGTTCTTCTTTCTGCTGCTCGAGTGTGCGGAACAGCTGGCGAGTGTGAGTTACTCTGGAATAAGTTTGATGATGTCAGTAGCATATAACAAATTTAAAGTAACGATATTCAAAGCACAGTACACATACTTAGTGATTGATTGTTTGCTTGAGGGATAAATAGAGAGAGAAAAAAAGTCAGAACAAAACGATAGTCGAGTATCTGCTGTTGTAGTTTTTATTCTAATTGGCGTGAGGAGGATTTTATCTCACACTTAAAAAAATAACAAGCCTAAATATGTTACATTACACATCTGCAAGATTATGACAATATTCCAGTTAAGATTTAAGAGTAATATGACATATGGCCTTACAAGCATCTTGCTACTAAGGGACTTGAGGTATGAGGTGGATCACGGCATATACAGATAGGACAAATGCTGCTAAATTAAATAACCAAGTCGAGAGATTAAACAGAAAATATTAATTCGCGTTCATCACACTTACTTGGCCGCGATCAAGTCCCTCTCTTGGCGCTCCTTAAGTAGGCTCTGTGAGAGGTTCTCCGAGTTCAGCTGCAGTTCCATCAGATTCCGGCGCTGGTCAGCGATGGTCACCTTAGCATCGTTCAGCTGTCGCTCGAGCTGCCTTGTGTTCATCTGTGGCCAGGGAAATATATTGATTATACTGCCAACCGTAACAGAATGCCCCTTCTCTTCCCTGGGAATATATAACGTCAAATTGGCTATAACGAGAAAAAAAATCTATATATTCTGATACTATCTATTGGGATAAAACTTTCCATTCACATTATCGTCTCTTCCTCTCTCTCATTCTTTCTCTCTCTGCCTCACCTCAGTCGAAGCCTTCCAGCGTACAATATTTTCTGTCTCTTGCTGCAACTGTCTGTGAAGATCTTCCATAGATACGGCACCTTCGCATTCTGAAGAAGAAAACATGCTACATACACTGAAATCAGAAGCACGAGAGAGAGAGAGAGAGAAGAAAGAGAGAGAGAAAGAATGAGAGGGAGAGAGAGAGGAGAGAGAAAGAGAGAGAGAGAGAGGGGGGGGGGGGGGGGGAGAGAGAGAGAGAGAGAGAGAGAGAGAGAGAGAGAGAGAGAGAGAGAGAGAGAGAGAGAGAGAGAGAGAGAGAGAGAGAGAGAGAGAGGGGGGAGAGAGAGGGGGGAGAGAGAGAGGAGAGAGAGAGAGGAGAGAGAGAGAAAGGGGAGAGAGAAAGGGAAGAGAGAGGGGGGAGAGAGAGGAGAGAGAGGAGAGAGAGGAGAGAGAGGAGAGAGAGAGAGAGAGAGAGAGAGAGAGAGAGAGAGAGAGAGAGAGAGAGAGAGAGAGAGAGAGAGAGAGAGAGCGAGAGAGAGAGAGAGAGAGAGAGAGAGAGGGAGAGAGAGAGAGAGAGAGAGTTTTGATATGAAACGTTTAATGAGATATATATCTCAAGTACATACGTCGAAGTGACATATGTCACCTCCATCCCATTCTTGTCCCCTTTGGTGCTTACATCAATCTAAGTTGAATCTAACACAGTTGACATTCATAACCAAGGAGCAAACTAACAAAACTGTTTAAATATTTCCTCAATACTGATATTTGGTGCAAAACCAGTCTAACGGTAGAATATAATGTAATTCAGGATTTTTGAATCTCAAGCAGTGTACCTCTTACGTAATGGCCTAGGGTGAGGGATCTTAGTGCAAAATATTCTTTCTGTATTTGGTATCTTCCTCTGTCTGGCTCGCTCCTCCTAACTCCCAGTAATATTTTTATCTGAACTATAATCTCGTGTACACTTGGTCATCCATTTGTCCTTCCCTCTCATTTCTTATTAAATCATCTTCCCTTCTCTTTGTTATCCCATTGGTGCCGGGTATGACGTGTACGTATATGCTATGCCCACCATGAGTACTTGTTTGATTGTTTTTACGCATAGATGGCAACACTTGTACTAACTCCCCAATGAGCCAACTGCGAGCACCTCCTGTCTCGCCCGTTTACCCGTTTCTTTGATTTACGAAATATTTTACATTATCTTATTTCGCTGTTACTAATGTTAAAAAACATTATAAAAATTATAATGTTTATGACAAAAATAACACCATCGATTTTCATAGCACTAGTGAAAAATACGTTTTTTCCGCCATTTTCCCCATTTTTTGTTCATTTTCCCCGGCGGCATTAGGTTATTCTACATTAAATACTTATTAATACACTGATTGCAACATGCATCCACCTCAGCTGTCTATAAAAAACGTTATGTTCGTTTCTACCCTATACAATTATTAGCCCCTCCAGTATACAAACTAGATCAGACTGTATTGATGATATGGTCACTCACTCGGAGTCCAATTTTACACATCTTTTGTAGTACAGTCCTTTCCTTGATTCGTTGTTCAATACTCTGCAACCCCAATGGTGTTCTCATAGTGTTAACCCTTGTATTTATTAGGCATCCTAAAATGACCCCTATGGTATTACTTCGCAAAACAACTTATTTAATAGGATTATTTCCTTCATCTTGTAAACGAACGAGGTTATAGATACTGGTTTATCTCCACTATATTAGGTGTAGGGATTAAGGTAGCCCTTTTCCAGGCGTCAGGTAACTTGCCTTCTCTAAAACATCAGTTAAAAAGGCCAAATAATGTACTGTTGGTTATGCTACGTAAATAATTCAGAACTTAATAAGTCGCACCATCCTCACCTAGTGTTGTACATTCACATAATTGTATGGCAGCCAACTACTCCCGTACATAATCTCTATACAGGCAACCGATTCTATAATTGAACATAACATAATAACATTCTTAATTTCATCTTCCCAGAGTTTAATAACTTCCCTCGAATTCTAAGCCAATGGATCGGTACTGGCTCAGTTTGTCTCTCCATTGGATGTGAACGACGAAGATTTTTTTCTTAATGGGATTACATTTTGCATTAATTCTTCAAGTACTCACTGCTTCCAACACAATTTCTGGAAAAAAATCCAGTACCTTGCCCAAGCCTCTTTTCTTTCCAGTTCACGCTCTCTCGCAGTTTCCAAGAGTTTTCATCTTCATCGCTCCTACCATTTACAACACACTATTTTTGTGCTAACATCAACATCTGTGCCCATACTCTTTAAAGTTATATCACTGGCGTAACAGTTTCCTGGCTCTATGTGCCTCATCAGTTACCTTACCGATTGTAATGATTTCAGATTCTCTTTAACTTCTCTATTAGATAGCATTTGATTTTTTTTACATTTTTTCTTAAGAATTGTTCCTTTCCTCACACAGGCTACTTTTCTTAAAGACATATTAATATACAACAAACTTTCCACTCGCAACTTCTTCAGCTACTTCGCATTCAGGGCCGTCGCGACGGGGGGGTGTGGGGTGTGTGCCCCCACCCCCCTGAAAAAAGCATTTGTAGGCAAATGAAGCCTTAAACCTGAATTTTTCGGCAAATGAGTAAATTTTGACAATTTCTGCTGCTAATTAGTCGGCGCTCTCTACGAATGGTTCACAGAACATAGAGTTATTGTGTGACTAATAAAGTCACCAATGCCCAACGCCCAATGACCACGCCCTTTGTCGGCAAATTTGAAACATTACACCCACCCCTACAACGCTGCCTTCTCGACGGCCCTGCTCGCATTCCCCTTGAGTGTCAGCCTGTTTATCATGGAATCATAATCCAGCCTTCCTCCCTCCATGTGACTTGTATTGTTATCTCCTAATATCGTTACATTTGGTAAATCCTGTAAGAAGTGGATTAGTTTGACTCCATTGTTATTTATTCTTCCCATTTTCTCGAGCCATGGATATCAGTCTTTAGAAATCGCCGATGGTTAGTATCGATTTGTTCAACATATAATCAAATTTGAATTTGAGTGAAAACAACCACCTGATATACAAAATTGCAATGTTTAGCATAAAAAAGTCTACATTCCCTCAAGCTCCGTTTGGATAGTCAATTATGTTTTTTTTTCCTACACAAGTCGCCACTCCTCTTTCCTGCTCTGTCGAGTATTGGTGAAATCCCTATATCTGCTAAGCCTGAAAATATTATCATGGATATTTGGCACTGTCGCACGCCAATAATATTCCAAGAAAGTGTCCTTTGAATTGCAATGATTCATTGGCGCTACCTACCGTCTTATTAATTTTTCCCATTGTAGTTTACAAGAAAGCCTAATTCTGTCACACAGCTTCCTATTTCTTCTGAAGTCTGTTTTTTTCAACATATTTGTATTTTTCCAATACCCTTTTAAATGTCTTACTTGTCATTTCTTTTAGCTTATATTCCCTTATGATTTTTTCCTTATCTTTAATGAGAATTGTACCCTACTTTTTTCTGAACCATGTTCTCTTCCTCTCCTTTCTGCTCTTTCAATTTCTCTTTGCTGACTACCGCATCAAGCCTCTTCTTTCTTATATTGTTCTTTCCCAAAAATCTGAAAAAGTACCCCCTGACTCAAGTCACTGCTTACTGTCATTTCACTAACCTGTCCACTACTCACATGACTAATGCAATCCGATGTTTGCTTGCATCTGTCTCATCCCCTGTAGTCTCCCTGTGTCCTATTTGTTTCTTGGTGGCTCTGTCATCTTATTACTTCCCTCGTATTCCCTGTCGTGGCCTCGCTTTGCATGCCAAGGATCCGGATTTTTTTCCTTTCTTCCGTAAAGTTTTAAAGTTGTAATGCCCCTTCTTCATCTGCAGTGCCCAGTTCATGTTGTCAGGGCACGTCATGTTGGATAACCGAGGAAAGACCCGTCGTCCTCACGCATCTTGTTTGTTTATTTATATCCCCATTATTCCTTTGTCATTTTTAGGCTCTTACCAGTAATCCATCGTTTCTCTGTCTCTTCTTTTCTCGCTCCTCTCCACTAACACGTACAATTTCATTGTTTATTCACTTTTCGTGTTCATCTTGCACATGATAGTTCCATACTTTAGTAGGCCTATGCATTTTCTATTCGATTGCACCACATATCCTTTCATATCCTGATTATCAACTGTGTTTCAGCGTTGTTTACAAAAGTTTTACGGAAAAGAAAATGAGATTTTCGAGTACTAGTAACGTAGCTGAAGGTACGGTTTCCCCAGTTGCCCTGAGGTCATGCCCGGAGCGCAGCCGAATAGTTGGCTTGCTACCCGCCTTTCTTGTACAGCAATAACGCCAGATCACTGATCTTGTAATATTGTGACTGCACATATCCAGTCCTTGTTTCCTTATGCACTGTCACCGAACCACTCAAGGCTTATGTTTCCGCTGATAAGCTTTAAATTGTCCAAAATACGGGAACTACTACACAGCTCTGTTTACGGTACTAGTGGCGCCGCCTCTGGGACAGATAGAGGGAGGGAGGGAGGGAGGGAGAGGAGAGAGGGAGAGAGAGAGAGGAGAGAGGAGAGAGAGGAGAGAGGGAGAGGGGGAGAGGGAGAGGGAGAGAGAGAGAGAGAGAGAGAGAGAGAGAGAGAGAGAGAGAGAGAGAGAGAGAGAGAGAGAGAGAGAAGGAGAGAGAGAGAGAGAGAGAGAGAGAGAGAGAGAGAGAGAGAGAGAAGGAGAGAGAGAGAGAGAGAGAGAGAGAGAGAGAGAGAGAGAGAGAGAGAAGGAGAGAGAGAGAGAGAGAGAGAGAGAGAGAGAGAGAGAGAGAGAGAGAAGAGAGAGAGAGAGAGAGAGAAGAGAGAGAGAGAGAGAGAGAGAGAGAGAAGAGAGAGAGAGAGAGAAAGAGAGAGAGAGAAGAAAGAGAGAGAGAAAGAGAAAGAGTGAGAGAGAAGAAAGAGAGAACCAAAAATGAAAAGAGACGGACAGAGAAAGTGAGCGAGACAAATAACACTTGATAGAAAGAGACATTCCAAATTTAAAAAAAAAGGTATTTAAGCAACTCACTCTTCGCGAGCGCCGTGTGTGCGCCGGTCCTCGAGGGGAAATCCCATTGCGACCGCGTGTGTCCGTCGCTGCGCAAAGTCTGCCTCCACATCTGCAAAAATTTCCATGACATAATGTTCGGGGTCCTTGTGTTTTGTGTATGACGTCATCAACTCATTACTCAGGAGCCATGAGTGTCGCATAATAATAAATAAATAAACTTAATAGAATTGGATAGAATTGAGCTGATGGAAATGAATAAGATTGATGGAATTGAATAGAATTGATGGAATTGAATAGTATTGATGGAATTAAATAGAGCAGTGATGATGAATTGTGGATCAATGGCCAACTATTATACCAAGTATTATATTATATTATATATTATATCATTCTATTATATCATATATATTATATCATTCTATTCTATTATACTATTATATTATATTATAGATTATATATTATATTATTAAATTATATCATATTACATGATCAAATTATATTATATTATATTATCATACTATAGCTAGTATTATACCAAGTGTGCCTCTATGGACTAAACGAAATTACGAACTATGTGGCGTAGAATGCTATGAAGAATGCTATCATCACTGATAATAACTATAACTGTGTTGAATTATGTCATTGGTAGTTTTGGGGAATTATGTTACAGAAATATTATGATAAAATAGCAAAAGAAAGAAAAGGATGACGCACAAAAAATAGGAAAAGAAAGAAAAGGATGACACACAAAAAAATAGGAAAAGAAAGAAAAGGATGACACAAAAAAAAGAGAAAAAGAAAGAAAAGGATGGCACACACACACACACACACAAAATAATAATAAATAAAAAAAGAAAGAATAGGATGACACAATAAAAAAAGAAAAGGATGACACACTAAAAAATAGAAAAAGAAAGAAAAGGATGACACACTAAAAAATAGAAAAAGAAAGAAAAGGATGACACACTAAAAAATAGAAAAAGAAAGAAAAGGATGACACAAAAAATAGAAAAAGAAAGAAAAGGATGACACAAAAAATAGAAAAAGAAAGAAAAGGATGACACAAAAAATAGAAAAAGAAAGAATAGGATGACACAAAAAAGTAGAAAAAGAAAGAAAAGGATGACACAAAAAAATAGAAAAAGAAAGAAAAGGATGACACAAAAAAAATAGAAAAAGAAAAGGATGACACACACAAAAAATAATTAATTAAACCAGTTCGGAATTAGGTTACGAGGTGATGTGAACGTGTAACTTGAAATTACACAATTGACTGTCATTTGGAATAATCTGTCGTTATTTGTTAAATCTACAAAGACAATAATAATAAAAAATAATAATAATATTCGTTTTTTTTTTTTTTTTTTTTTTTTTTCCAAATCGTTTACACCGAAAAAGTACTGTGATATTCCAACAGATTCATGAATTAGCAAGCTTTTATTTTGATGAGATCGAAGTTAGAATAAATAATCCTTGCAATAATATATAAATCTGATGGCTAATCTTGTCAGACAGAAAAAAATAGAGAAAAAAGAGAGAAAAATGGCGACGGACGAGCGTTCAATTAATAATAATAATAAATAATTAATAAATGATAATCCTTACAATAAATTATATAAATCTGATGGCTAACCTTGTCTAAAATTGTGAAAAAGAGAAAAAAAAGGCGACGGACGTTCAATTTGATGGCGGTTGGCTGACGAAGGAGGAGCGCGGAGGTACATCTTTTAAATGTTCAACTACAGTGCCGTATTAATTTTTGCAGGTAAAAAAATATGATTTTCGTAATATGAGTAATATGTGTATCCCTGTGTATTCCTTCTGTCAAATGAGAAGCAATCTTAGAGCTTGTTTTTCTGTAAAAGATATTAAAAGTGTGTATACCCAAGTACACCTTTGCAAAAAAAAAAAAGAAAAAAAAAGATAAAAATTGCGCCAAAGAACTCAATACTTCACACTTTTTTATTGTTTTTTTTTTAATCTATTTGGATATATATGAACGTTTTTCAGCATACATTTCATCAATATTCATCATTTTCTTACTTTTCTCCGAGCTTCATTTTCGGCGCGATTTCAAGGACCTTGCGTATAAAAGTTCTCTTTATACAT